ATCTAGAATTTAGAAGTGAGTGGAAATGTGGTGGAGATAATTTACTGTATATAAATTTTTTTAAAAAACTGAAGCGATCTAAATCATTTTAAAGTAGTGGTAAAGTGGTTGATGCAACTCAGTTGAAAAATTTGGATGCATAATCCTACACATGGGTAGAAAAACAGAATGGCATCAATTTAGAACTGGTGGGGAAATCTGTGAAATCTGTATGTGAAAAACACCTGAATGTCCTTAAAGATCGGAAGATAAAACATAAACCAGAATGAGATGTAGCTGCTAAAAGCCAATACTATTTTGGAGCTCAGGGTCTAGGTCACAGGAAGTGATTATTCTACTCCACTCCCTGATCAGATCCCAGTGGCCATACTGTAGCCAGTTTGGTCACTACAGTTCAAAAAGGCAGAGACAAAATGAAAGTTTATAAAGGATTTCCAAGATGGAAACAGGTCTGGAAATTGAGTCCTATGAGGAATGGTAATATTTGTATATTTGTATGTTTGTATAAATATTTGTATGTTTACCTTACAGAAGAGACCATTGTGATATGGTTTCAATCAAATATCCAAAGGATTAACACATAAAGAAGAGGAAGCAGATATACTCAGTTCAGAACCATTCATTTAAAAGTACTCAGAAACAGAATTAGGAGGAAATTCTTGATTGTATGCTATTTTATCCAGTTAAATAAGCTGCTCCATGATGCAGTAAGATCTCCTTTGTAGGAGATCTTCAATCAGAGGTTAGACAATCCTCTATTAGAAGTGCTCTAATGAATCCTGTACTGAGCAGGAGACCAGATGAGATTTGCTATAAGGACACTTCCAATTCAACGATTGTATGATTCTCTGAAGTTGGTGTTGCCTGTGAAGGAAGAATAGCTCATATCCACACTATAACTCAGAAATATTCCCAGTATCTTTTGATTGCTGCTGCAAAGCTTTCTTTTGGGGCCAGAGTCTTCCTGGCAAGTTCTGAACTGTTAGTCAAGAATCTTTAAGGCTTTTTCTAGAGAAATCAGCTGAGAACACATGACATCTTGCAGACAAATCTATCTTTCTGCTGTGTTCTGACATATCAATTGGGTTAAGTGGAGTGAGAGAATAAAAAACCTTCAAGATTTCAATCAAGACCATTCAATTAAAGCCATATTTTATTTACGTTTTATAAAAGGTAAAAATATGGTAGTTTTGTGTGGTTATGACAACCATTTTGAAGACCTTCTCACCTTCCTGGGGATGATCCCAATCAGGTTGGTTCATTATACTAAGCACAATCATGGATTCCATTTTACCCCAATTCCTAGTATAGTGTTATCCACCTCTCTGCATTAGCTGAGCCATTTGCTTCCCAATAACTTCTACAGTATAATGATACATTTCATTTGTATTCCCTGGATTGACAACACTTGATATTTATGTCACCTATAAGACTGTCCTTTTACCACAGTCTTTGAGATCTTATTGCTCTGATCTTTGGACTCTGCTTCTAATAGAGGGTGGAAGAAGAGATATAGTAGGCTGCAATAAGGAAAGGAAACACAGCCAAGGACATCTCTAGGAGTGAGTCATAAGCACAATTTTCGTCTTCCCTGATAAACTACAATCCTTTGGGAGAATGACTTAGTAAAATAAACAACAATAATGCAATAATAGTGATTATTCCTAGGTTTTAGAAATTAGGCCATACATGCTTTAGTTTGGATTGCTAATTGAGCAGAAGGTTGTGTTCTTTGGCCCAAATCTCACTGAAATTGACCATAGATTGTGTAGCTACAGGAGGACTTTTTTGTTTATGCTGATGAACTAGACCATTCTTCTTTGATCTTCCATAATGAAAATGTGGCTTCACTAAATTATCTTCCTGATAGAATCAATGGTGCCGACAAATACACTCAGTTTCACTATAGCGCTGAAAGCAACTCAAAATTCCAGGTTATTTCAAAAAAGAAGAGAGGAAGAGACAGAGAACACAGCAAAGACAAGAGTCATACTTTTTCCATTCAGTTCCCATTTCATATCTAAAAAAAGTAATTTCCCACCAACATCAAATCTATAAATATTACAATGTTACCCGCTCAAGGAGGCAGGTCCTCCTTAAACCTATGTTGCTCAGAGTGGAGCACCAGCTGAGAGATTGTAAAGTATGCTTATATTTTGTGAAAATATATTTTCATAACTTCCCAATATAATTTGGAGTTGTCTCTTTCTCTCTGCCTGTCCCTCACTTTGCTTTGTGGACATAAAGTTTCTTAGCAATTACAATTAATTAGGGCTCTATAAAATTAAGGAAACCAGGAAGAGGGTTCAAAGTTTCAGCAGTGAGTCAAAAGACATAATCAGAATGCCAGGTCAGACCTGTAGAATTGCTCAGAGGCCAGATATATGCACTAGCAGACCAAATTATCCTACCCTGCTGATGTTTAATCACCACCTTTTTCAGAAATGTGAGATTGTTTTTTTAACGATAGATTTATTTGTTCATTCCACACTGAAAAAAAAAACCTAGAAAAAAAGCCTTCTCATTGTTTCTCTGTCAACTTTTTTTTTTTTTGTTAAAATAGCTAAAGCACTTAGATCTACTGTTTCTGATTCATGCTGTTGCCATCTTAGCTAATAGTTATATAATTCTACCTGGATGTTACATTTATGTATTTATTTAGCTGGTGGTTTGTGAGGCTGCAGTAGATAAAGTGATGCTGCTTCACTTGCAACCATGGAGCATGGGCTTTATTCATTGTCATAGTGAAGGATATTCACTCTCCAATTAGAAAGATTTGATACAAATTTTCATTGCTTATTTAATGCTAAAAGAATTTCAGCAATATGAAGCAGCGCATCAAGGTCAATTCACACATGCAATTAATTTATGTATGTGTTAGAATAAGCACTGAGTTTTTAAACTTATTAATATCTGATCCTCGCTCAGGTTACCCCATAATTGTTTAAATCTTACTGTGGCATTATGGCACAGCTTTGAAGAACCATACTTTTGTATGCTCATGAGTTGAACCTTGTATGAAGTATTGGACACTCCATGGATAAATTCTGTTCTCCCATTGGAAGAGAACAATGCTGGGACACAAATTCAAAAGCAGGTGACAAAGACTACAACATTTCATTAAGTTGAAAATTTGATGAATGACCATAGCTTTTTCAAAATTGATTCTATGTCCTGTACAAAATATTATAAAATCATTTGTAACTGTTGGTGCCGCTGTCCCTTTGGAAATAAATAAGAGATCTGAATATTCTTCTACCCCAAGACCAATATTTTAATATAAAACATTCTTTCAGGTTATTTAAGCAATTTCTGTTTAGTACCAAATTACTTGTTTAAAAAAAAATGAGGGAAGGAAAAAACACAGAAAAAGAAACATCTCAGCAAAATAATACATATGTCATATGCTTAAGACATATATACTGTATGTCATAAATACTAGTGCTTTACTAGGCTGATGGAGAAAAGGTTAATTTAATAGAAAAAATAAAATGTAGAATAACATTGATTTTGGCTGATAACAATTACAATACTATCTGTTTTTACAAATAACAGCTGGACGTTTTACAGATGTACAGTATTTTTCAGTAAAATGTATCTGGATTTAACAATGTCAGTATTTAAAAAAATTAATTTCTCCTCTATATTAGTGTTAAAAGCATTTTAAAGTATCCAAATAAAATCTTTACAACTCAATATATTATATCACAATTTGGAGACACACAAGCACACACACATGGATGTCTTTGCATGTGTGTATGTGTTGCGTAATATGTACTTATATATCTATACCATTAACTTAATTTGAGGAAGCATTATTTTCTAGTTCTTTGTCATGTAAAAACGAGGCAGTCCAGACAGTAATAATACAACTAGAACAGGGTTATAAGAATTTTTGAAAATTGGGCATGAGTGGCACTAACCATATCATGCTTACTATGTCTTCTCAGAGTACAAGCCACTGCCCAACTTACATAAAGTTACAGCAAACTTAATTATTTTTGAAAACGAATAGACAATGAGTGATTAATTGAAGTGCTATTAATCTCAAAGAAATTCATACACAGCTAGACCAGGGTAGCATATCTGACTTTTTCCCATTTTCACCAATCATTTCCAAGTCAAAAATATTCCACCTCAGCTATAGGATATTACTATGCAGGAACTTTGTCTTTTCATGGATTCTGTTTTTCACTCCAGCCAATTTCTTTGACCTTCTCCTTTATCTCCTTATTGAAGCCATTTCTTTAAGATCTTAAAGTTTTAGAATAAAAGAGATGGAAAAAAGAAACTTGTTTTTAAAACATTGTCTAGAATTTACCTTGGACAAATGTCCTTCTCAGATTGTGTTGGTCTTCAGTATATTTAAGAAAAGTTTTTTTTTCTCCATTTGAAATTTTGTTAAAATAGGATTGTGTACTTTGAAACTATATTACGCACACTATAATTTTTCATACATCTAACTTTTTCTAGAATATAAATTAAAAAAATGATAGCTGGCTTGATTTTGTGCAAATCCTAAAAAAATAGTGAAAATACTCTTGAGACTATTAATGGTAGTATCAAAACACCTTTATCTTTTTGCTGGTCTGTTAAATGTTTTAAGTTAAAACAATAAATACTGAGGATTTTAAATGAAATGAGTTTTCAAGGTGATAATTATTCATTTTAATCTTAAAAGAAATTTATTTCTAAATAATTTGATGGTGAGCTGTTTATTTCTGTGCATATTTATTTATACTGAAAAGAGATTCATTTCTATATAATTTGTAATGTTCAGGAAGCCCTATTTTTTCAGGATAAATAAAAACATTTTTATTTCATTTCGATCTGTGCTATATACAGTGAAAACAATTAAAAATGGCATAATTATCTTATATTTTCTGATATATGAATGTTTTGAATATTAATTAAAATGCACAAATTATATTTTAATACTATTTTCAGTATTAAAATAGAATATAGAAAATATACTATGAAATTTGAAACTTATTTTTGGGATTTTCTCTACATATTATATGGTAGCAGTAAAGCTTTACACTTAGTACTTTAAATTTTCTATTATTGCACAATAATAACAAATTATTTCACTCTTGATGGAATACTGATAATGCATGCACATTAAGAGCAAAATTAGGTTTAGTATATTAATTCCAGTTATAGTTATAGACCACACAAATGTTTATAGTAGTACCATTGCATTCTGAATTTCATATCTATTCGCTTTTCACAATTGCTGAAATCCAGAGAATTTACTCTTTGTTCCAAAAGCAATATATCATGAATGTATTGAGCATATTACATATAAAATAACCCATACATGAGCCAATGCATATTTACTTGCTGAAGAGATACTGAAATCCACACATTGATATGTGATTGTGCTCATTTTATTCATTTTTATGCAAAAAGAACCCCGCAAGACCTTATTTTACTGCAAAAACTAAACATTATACTATTTGGTGGAATATGTGGCATATCCATGTATGCATCACACTTTAATAAATGCATGAAATATTTGGTAGGAAAAATTCGAGTTTCAGAAAGTATCAGTAAAAGGATCTAATGTTAGCTAAAGGAAAATAAGTGATAAACATAAAGGTACATAAAAGTAAATATGTAAAAAGAAATATCAACAGATTTTTGGAAAGATCTTTTTTAGAAACTGATGTGTGGTATATGTATTTTTGTTGAAGATAGTCTTAAGATTGAAATTAATTTGGTCTATTCATATTCCTCTATGTATATTAATGAACTTATATTTGATTGTTACTTACTGCTTTTTGACTCCTGATAAGATTATTTGGTTCGCTTAAATTAGATATTATTTATTAAAATTATTTCCTTTAATTTTTATGTTTAACTTGCCTGAAGTCATGGCCCATATCCAAAGAAATATATTGGTATCAAAGTTTTAAAAGTGCACACTCTATCTGATGGATATTGGTGGATTCCAGTTTCAAGTATAAAAGCTACATTTAAAAGAAAAAAAAAGGGGGGGGGGAAGGTACTTGCATCTTTCAGAGTTTATTCATACCAGAATGATGCCCTAACACTTCAAAACCTATCTTTAAAAACATACTGGTTGATCTGGCCAGAATTTGAAAAGCTGTTGGAGAATTTAGCAATGTGATAAAATGAATACAAGCAAATGCTACCCAACATACAAGAGCACTAAAAAAAAAAATACAACACCACTGTAATGCACGCAGAGCATGAGCTTCCAACAAAAAAATGCTATTTCTTTTCAGAGTTCTTCTCATTCTTATTACATGAGGACAAAAAAGAAAAGACTAATGCAAGTATGTTTTTTGTTTTGTTTTAATCCATTGTAAACTTGTGCTGTACTGTTGGCGCACTCTACACATCTTCAAGGGAAACAAGCAAAAAAAAAGGAAAGCAGATTTTTGTCAAAAAATAAAATAAAATCCAGGCATGTCCTTAAATTGACAGGAAGTCGAATGACTTTAATTTGGCATAAAATGCTTTGGTCACAACCTACTGACACTGTGATCCCAGATGTTTTGTTCTGAACACCCAGTAATGAAAGGTAGGCTCGTTGTAGTTTTATATTTTAAGTTCCAATATACAGTTCACTGCCTCCCCAAAGGGGAGAAAGAGGAGGAAAAAAAAGTGGTTTGGGAGGGTTTCCCCATTTTTAATAATATGGATTAATCTATAAGTCTACCGGAACAAGAATGCCTGGAGAGAAGCCAAATCAACCTTTCAGTGTACATGTTCTGCAGCAAAGTTGCTGAAGTACTTTCCGCTGGCAAAGATTATTCTTTTTCACTAGCATACAGAAGCCGCCTTCTGCCCAAGACTCTTCCGTTGCTTCATGAGGTCATAGAGAGTGGAAGGAGGTTGAGTTTTGAACAGCATGGTGTCAGGTAGAGGGAGATTTAATTGGTCAGACAGGCAAATTTGATAGAAGAGATCATTCAGGAGCAGGTAGCAAATAGGAAATTGGGTTTCCATCAAAAGGAATTTCAGTCACAACAGCATTTGTTTTCAGGAAAATACATTGTGTTGTAGTAAGGAGTGATTTGTATCCATTTATGTAAGAAGAAAAAAAGATCAGAAAAAGAAGTATTAGAAAACAGTGAAAAATGCAGTCAGAGATATCTTATTCAGTATTATGAATTTAAAAAAGAATACTAAACAGAAACACACAAGAATGCACACATAATTTTAAATCGTCCAGAATTTAATAGAACAGTATTCTGATTTTTTGGGTGTGTGCTCTCCAAAATGCTTATGGTGAAGATTCCTTCGCTCACTGTGCAATTACAAAGCATGATTTAGTGTAATATGCATCATAATCATTTTTTAAACTTATTCACTTGTTACTTTATGGAGAAAATTCTTAGTCTGATTCAGGGTCTAGTGCATAATTTTCCTACAATTTAAGAGAAAAAGCAATAAATAAGTTGAGTGGGTTGTGTTCTTTGATCATTCACTTTGGGGAAAATTCAGAGATAAATAGCTGCCAATGGAAGAGTATTTGCTAGTGGAAATAGATTTTGTCTAGCCTAGCAGCTCCTTCTGACCCCCCCCCCCCCCGCATCCCAACCTCTACTATAGAGCGATTGAAGGCTGCAGTTGGGAGGATTCAAAGGCGAAATTGAATATTATCCTGTCTTTGTGAAGAACACGAGTTTTCTATCTGATTTTAAGTCCAATCCCACATTCAAATAAATCTGCCAGTGTCCTGTTTATCATAATCCAAGCTGCTAAGCACTTTTTCCAAACAGTCAGTCAGTTAAAGGGATATTGCAATACTTGGTTGGTTTAGCAATTTTACTATGTACAAAAGCATGTGATTTTATACATGCTTTTTAAGGAGAACTATGAAAAAGATGGGGAAAAAATTAAAATCATACTTGAAACTAAGATGTGAATTAAAAATATTGCTCACTGGAGGTTTGTTTTCTTAAATTCACTGTTAGTGGCAAATGCTGTAAAACTCACTGAACATAAAAATACTCTCTATAGCACTTGTGTATATTGTCATTGATATTGAAATCATTGTGCTGTTAAGAATCTTGCAACATTTTGAATGTTACTTAAACCAAAAGGGATGACAAGCAGAGGCCTAATGTCATGCGGACATTAATTCTCTGTAAATTCAGAGTTCTGCATATATTACTGCGATCATAAAAAAAAATCTTGCAGTTGCACAGTAAACCCTTGATTTAGCAGACCAGTGGGGAATGGGGTTGTCATTAAAGTAGATATCCATTAAATCCAAATGTCCTTTGTGAAAGCATATTTCATGCATTTTATGCATATTATAGTTTTATAAATGGCAAAAGGGATTTTATCCATGAACAGAAACTTAAAGTTTATGGACAAAGTTTGTCTGTTGCATTTAAGATTTCCTAAAGGGTTTTAATTGAAGGTTTACTGTGGCTTAAATAATTTGATTTCCAAGTCATAAGTTCCTTTAAGTATCAGGAACTCCTCACTTCACCCCAAAATATAGCTTAAAATTATTCTGAGAATGTCAAGGGAAGCAATAGCCAAGATGTGAGTTAGACATCTTAGAATAGAGAATTTCAGTTTGGAGTAAATTGTAGTTGGATACAAATCATGAAGGGAAAACCTGGACAAGATATAAAACAATCAGAACAGGAACAGGGGTTTAAAGAAAAACAGATCACACATCAATAAATTGTCAAATACTATTTGGCTACAATGAAAAGAGCAAGAAGAAAAGCTGGTAGCATACAATAGTAGGTGATATAAAAAACTGAGTGTAGCAGCAGTTGTAACTGCAGATGAGAGGCAAAAACATTTGAAATGAAAGAAAAAATGCAAACTTTACACATTAAAACAAGCTGAAATGTTGTACTGTTGTAGCATGAAAGTAGTGTGTTTCTTTTATCTACTTGATGATTACCCCAAGGTGCTTGCTGACTTTTGAACAATGCAAAATTAAGACTCTTTTAGTAAACTTGGACCATTTGCCAATTAGCCTGTATGAATTTCTTTCCATTCAACAAAAGGTTTTAACAAGATGCACTATGGTCTGCTATATCACTGTGTACACTACTTTATTACAGCTGAATCACTCTAGGTACTAATGAAACCAACTAGAAGTTATTGCTTATTCTACTATCTCAGCATATCTTTACAAGATAAATAAAAAGTACAGAGCATGGCTTGTTTCTGCCCCCCCCCCCCCCCGCCGCCCATTTTTTTAACAGCAATTTTGCTCTAATCACCTGACCAGAAGGGAAAAAGTCAAGAAACTTAAGTTGGTAGAATTTTTTTCTGGATTTTTCCCTTGGTTAGATCTGGCACATTTTCAAATATTTATTTATTTAGTCAACTTCTCCCCCAAATCCAAATTTGGCCACATTCTGTTCTATTTTCAGATAGATAGACAATACAATTTCTTCAAAGATTCCTTTGGATTGGAAAGAAAAATGATTATACATTTAAAAGAAGGTACATTTTCTTGGAGTAGCAATAGGGCTTTTCCCTTGTTAAATTATTTTTTAATAAATGGTTGATTACATCTACTTATCCCTGTAGAAAAATCCTAGTACTCATTCCCAAGCCTCCTTCTGTTTTCTGCTATTTATTCCAGTACATAGAAGTACATTGGTCACATATGACCCCATTATTAGTCTAGTTGGAGCCTCCAAATGTTATCTACTCATACACTTAAGTCTTTCTAATACACCAGGAGGACACCAGAATTAAGATAGCTGACCTTTGAGAATGAGGATTCAACTATAACTGTGAAGGGCTTGAAAGGAAACCAATTGTTTCTGGTTGAGGATACTAATTTCTTTTTCAGGGAGTTGATACATATATTCACACACTATAGCAAAAGTGCAACTCCCACAATAAATAACAATTCTTTCCCAGTATTTCACATTTGGGGGACAATTTCAGCGTCTGATTTATTCTATCTTTGTTTGTTCTTTCATTCATGCAGTGTTAGCTCTCTTGAATACTGTTTGTACATTCAATTTCTTCTCTGAAGCTTTTAAGCAAATATATGAAAATGTTCTTTTAGCTTATTGGTAAATGATAAGAATACTGAGCTGGAAGGATAGCCTATGTCTTTTCCTATTAGGAACAAAAACAATAAAACAGCTTCCTGAGATTATTTTTAAAGTCCAAACAATATTAAACAGAGGAAAAATCAGAATATTAGTTGGAGAAATGCACTCACCATCTTTACAGACAAGACCAACTACACAAAGACCTGTATCTAAGATGTAGCCACTTGGACAACTTGTACAGTTTCTTTCTCCTGGACCACTACACCCAAAGCAGCTGACATCACATCTTAATGAAAAAAACAAACAAACAAAAAACCCAGCAAGTTATACATAGGACCCATGACGATTATTTCTCTTATAATAAAATAGTGCTTAATTTTATTAATATCTAGATTACTATAAGATTCTAAAATGTAGACGCCAACATGGAAAATAACAGCATAAACATTTAAATCACATAAGGCAACATACCTTTGCTACTGTTTTACACCTCTGAGGTCTTGAAGACTAATCATACACAAAGAAAACCGTGCATGTCTCCAACATTTACACATAGTTAACTATAATCTAGTGGCCGTGCCAAATAATCTGGCTGCTCAGAAATTTCAGTTAATCAATTTCCCTTTTATATGTCTGTTTTGGGACTAGAAAGCATTTACATATATTATTCTCACCCCCCCCCTTTTTTTAGCTAGACAACCAATTCCATGATGACCCTCAACCCATGATTTCTGGATGAAAATAAAAATGAGATTGATGGGGAAGAATTCTCACCTGTGAATGGCTAATTGTATATGGTAAGGCTGTTGATCATTGTAAAATTTCACCACAGAGCATAATCACATTTTCATACCTCACAAAATTATGCATAACTCTCTGCCAACATCTTAACTTTGGCTTGGAAGGATCTGTGCTCTTAAAGATGTTCTAGAAATATTTTAAAGGATTCTAGATACACAGAAGCTTCATTAATACAGCTTGAGTGGAAATTGCTACTAATGCTAGGTATAAGTTTGAATAATTATAAAAAGTTTAGTAATAGGAATTATTTTTAGAAAATATTTTTAGAATGCCTTTTCAGCGGGGAAATTTGTTTCTTGGTTACAGTTCACATATAGGAATCCCCTTTGGATTTTACTCTGCTAGTCATTGCTGACTATATTGGGCAGTGGTAATCTCAGTTTCAAGGCCATTGAGCCAGTCCTGTCTAAAGACATTTCCATGGTCATATGACCAGCATGATATCATGGACTGCTGTTACCATCTCAGCAAAATGGTACCTATGTATCTACTACATTTGCACGCTTTCTAACTGCTCAATTGGCAGGAGCTGGGGCAAGAACAGGAGCTCATCCTATTGTATGGTGCTTGAGTATTGAACTTGGGCTGCTGGCTTTCAAGTTGACAAACCCAACATCTTAACCACTGAGTCACCTTTATGGTTCCCTTAGGGTTCACATATAAAATGGGTCAATTTTTGCATCTGATTTAAAATGTGACATAGCTTATAATGACCAAAACTTACCTTTTGCAAGTTTTATATCCATTTTCTAATGAGTGATCCAAATAGTAGCCATTGTGACAAGTTGCCACACATTTTCCATTCTCCATAAAATACTCTTCTGTACAATTGATGCAAGCATCTGCTCCTGGGCCTCAAAAGCCAACAAAACAAAAATGATAACAAAGTGCTATATCCTCAATAAAGTATAGATAATGGTTATTCACTAAATAATTTAGTAGCATGATTACTAATTTGGTGGGGTGAAAAGTGGTATTCTTCCATGTAAACAAGAATGTTAAAAGACATTCAAGCTCATCCAATTATACTACTGGTCCCTCCTCATAATCTCACTGATTTGCTAGAACTACTGTTGGTTTGTTTTAGATTTGTTTTTCTTACTAATGTTGATAATACTTCTATTCCAGCAAAGACAGAGGGAGAAACTACCATACATATTGAAGCTGTTCACACTATGATCAATGGGTATTATCTAAGCATGGCCTAATGACAACCTGCATTTCATATTTATGATAGTATTGTGTGTCTCTACAAAGCTTAATACTTATTCTATTTTGTTGCCAGGAAGGCATAAATTATTTAGTTAACAAAAATAATATTAGAAGTACCTTCACAAGAAGCACAGGAACGATGGCATGGCTCACAGTCTCTGCCATTATAATATTTCCCTGCTTCACAGCGTATAACACATCTTGTTCCTTGTAAACTACATAAAAAACACAAGGAGATTTAGATAATTTCTGCTAATATCTAAGCGGAAAAGAAAATACATTTATGCTTTATAGTGAGTTTAATGTATGCTATTTATTAAAGTCTCATTAAGGTGTGTTTATAACTGATGTATTGAATCTCAGTCTGAAACATAATACTGCAGAAAATACTTGCATTTTTTGAAAGCAAACAGACTTCTCAGCTGCTATGCTTAGTTATGAAGTGCAATTTTGTTATTAGTCGGTGATTTTTTTTTAGATCCATGTCCCTTGTACTTGCTAATTTAATATGGATATTTTAACAAATCACTCTAAGGCTGTTGCAGCTTTAATTTTTTTTCCTCTCTGAAGTGATATGTGTACTGTAAGGAATACATATGTGCCTTAAAGAACATAACATATGTAATTAAAACATTACATTATAATGAGATGATTACATCATAGTTAGACCATGGTATCAATTTTATGTTGTGGTTTTTTTTATCAGTACAAGCAAGTACCGTATTTATCGGCGTATAACACGCACAGGCATATAACACGCATCTTCATTTTAAGAGGGAAATTTCAGGGAAAAAAATTAAATTTCTAAATAAAAACTTTGAAGCAAAATAAGGGTAGCTCAGAACTTTTTTTTTATTAATATTATTACCACTTATAAGGTAAATCAGTGGTCCCCAACCTTTTTTGTACCAGGGACCGGTTTCAAGCAGAAAATTTTTGCAAGGACC